AAACTGTTATTGATGATGTGGTTTCTAGAAGAGCAAGTGCAAGTGAAAACTGTTGCATCGCCAAGTTGTTCTCATGTACGTCCGATCAGGAGGACCCCAGTTGTAAACTTTTGTCTCACTTAGATGTCTCAAAAGGGTCAGAATCAGACGGTCATCTAAAGAATAACATGCATTGTCAAAACATGAAACTTCAACTGATGTTGAAATTGCTAACAGTGAGGGGGAATCCGCTCCCTTTGGTGAGGTTAAAGCACCCAGTGTTGTGCATCTTCTAGGTTCACCTGGGAGACCTGAGGATGTTGATGTTGAAGCACAGACCTCCCAGGAATTGAAGGAAGCAGAGGTTTTGAACCATGTTGCTCATGAAGCTGTACAGCCAGATGAATTACATCTTCGACCATGCACATCCCATATGGGCCAAACCAATGTGTTGTTCATTGGAGGTAAAAGTGTGCTGATTCTGTGTTACACAGTTTATTTATTTATTTATTTATTTTGAAAATATGCTTAGTTGTTTCTCTCCTCTCCTTTGTCTTGTTTCGTTCTTTTCTTCTATTTTCTAACTGATGAGTACAATGGGCACTCTGGAATTATGTTATGATAGCGCATCTTTACTGCATGGATCCAATTGTTGTAGTGACATTTACTTCACCTTGTTAACTTCCGTTGAAATTGGGGACTTAGTTCATGGCTTTCTAACTTTACCATCTTTTTTTTTTTTTTTGGTTGAGGAAATCAACTTTCTAACACCCATTTAAGAATTTTGGTTGAATGATTTTCATTAATTAGTTACAGTAAACATATATGGTAACTTCGATAGACAGAGAAATAGATTGTTCTGGTAGCTGGTTATTTTCATATTTGCAGGCAGTGTCACATGACCAATGTTTCACGTCCTGCTTTAGGTGATTGTCAGACAACAGAGCAATCTTTGTGTGAACAAATTCACCAAGATCTGGAGAAATCCGATGAGCAACATGGGAGTCAGATCTTTGTTGATAATCCAGTAAGAAGTGACAGCAAATCTGTTGCTTCTGACATGCCAGCGCCTGAAAAAATGCTCTCGCTAGCATATCAACAGAGTGTTGGACCTAATGATTTGATGATGGAATCTACGCCTGACAGTTGGGATACACCTAGAGGCATCAAGAGTGATGAAGGAGTGAAATGTGTCTCAGGTAAAAAGCGAAGTTTCACTGAAAGTACTCTGACGATGCAGAGTGTGGATTTGGCTGAATCATATGGAGGGACCCAATCCAAGAGAAGTGCAGATCTCCTTCCTGATGATGACGATTTATTGTCTTCCATATTAGGTATTAAAGTGAACCCTTAATACTTTTAGAAGTAGATTATAATGTTTCTTTTTCTGTGAGAATCAGTCTTAGTTTTGGCGGCTTCTTTTTTGTTGCTCTAGTTGGAAGACGATCTTCATTTTTGAAAGTGAAACCCACTCCAGCAGCCTCTGAAGTGGTATCAATAAAACGTCCCCGTTTGGTATCACGCACTAGTGCCATAAAGAGGAAGGTGCTTACAGATGATACAATGGTCTTGCATGGCGAGTAGGTTTTTATAATGCCCACATGTTCAATTGCACCTGGTTTTCCTCTTTATTTTATGTTGAGGGTTCTGTTATGCTTTATGTGATTAATATATCTTGTAAGTTTTTAGGTGCAATTCATACTCAGTTTTTTAATATTTTTTGTTGCAAAGGAGAATCTGGATGAGTGATTATTAAGTTGTAACTAACAATTTTACTAAAACTCCCTGCCACTATTCCTTGAAAGACGAGGATAAATCCTCAGATAGCAATAACTTGAATGTTATGAAACTAACATTAATGCATGAGAGTTCTTCAATCCCTTTACATTTCCATCTAGGAAACTAACTGAAAAATAAGTATGATGAATGACAAAGACGCATTCTCTTAAATATACAAGCATTCTGCTCTACCCAGCGAATGCATCAGAGGATTGAATGGTTGGCGCACTGCCAGAGAGCAATTACAAGCTTGTGTTAAATACATCGCATCAACAATCTTTTTTATTAGATGGTCATCCTTGAAGAAAGCATATATATCACGAAGTTGAAGATTGTAGTTCCCTAAATAAGGGTGTAACTTACACCATTCAACTAATTCATATACAACCAAAAGTTTTATTATCTAATTTAACTTCATTTGCTGTTTCCTATTTCATTTTTTTTTTAATTTCCTTCATGACTGAAGATGTGTTGACTTGGTTAATGAGGAGAAAGATGTGTTATTTCATGGTCTATAGAATGCGTGTACTGTACCTGATGGAAAAGGCACTAGAATGTTGTCCGTATTAAAACCTTAATAACTTCCCTGATGCATTTAATAGATATATCCTTTATTAACTGACTGGTTATGGCCGAGATGTGCTTATGATGCCGCATTTGTTCTCTTGCTTTATAGAAAGCTGTATTTTGCTTTTCTCTTGCAATGGGATACTAATTATTTTTGCCTTCTTTCTTTAGTATAATACGGCAACAACTAACAAATACTGAAGACATACGTCGCACACGGAAGAAAGCTCCTTGCACTCACCAAGAAATATTAATGATTCAAAGACAATTTCTGGAGGATGAAATTTTTCAAGATCCAATATTTACAGGTGAGAAATGTGTGTTTTGTGCTATGGCTTTCAGGTATATGCCCCAACCTCCCTGCTTCCTTAAACATATAATACAACCCTACAAACACATATCCAGTGAGGCAAGACAATATGTTATAATAAGAGGAAAGTATTTGTGAACAAGCAATGGAGTCATTCAAATGGTTGTTAGTTACCTTTTCTCCTTGTCAAGTAGCTGTGTATAGAAATGGCTATTTTATATATCCCATAACCATGTAATCATTCCCTGTTAATCTCTCCCAATCACGCACTCTCCAATCTCTTGAAACCCTTACTTTTAACCCACTCTAGCATATGTTCCCCGTCTCTAACCTACTCCCTGTTTATCATACGCTTATTGCACTTCACGTGACTCAGCCTGGATCCCATTATTCCTGAACCCATCATGATATAATCTAGACCCATTTTGTGGACCATACATCATGATGTCGATTTGAAGAAAAGTACTGCAAATTTCGATTTTATTGATTGGATGATATCAGGAAGTTACCAAACTAAAATGATCATGGGTCATTAATAACCTGTGTAAAATTTAAATGGACTATACTTGATTAATTTCAAGGGACCTAACTGAACTTGAATCAAAACCATATTGGTGTTGTGAACCTGGCTTCTTATGTTCAGATATTTCTGTGTTTTGCTTGAAACTTTGATCTTTAGATTTTCAGGGTACTTCTGATAATGCCCTCTCCTTAGTAGTTGTCCTGGAATGGAAATATTGGCTGAAAATAAAAAATTCTTTAAATGTATGGTAGGGTCTTTCAAACTGAGCTATTTTTTTGTATATCTTTCAGGTGTGTCAGCTGATTTGATACTTCTGCGAAATGAGAAATTGGATCTAACTGGGATTAGGGTTTGTGATTACATTTTAGACAGTTCTCTCTCAGAAGCAACAAATGATAATGAATCCCATTCAAGAACAAATGTTACTGATATTCATGGAGTGGAAAGAAACATTGAACCTGTCATGGTCCAAGATGCGGAGGAACAACCTTTTGGGGCACCTATTGTGCCTGAGAGCAATCAGCCTGAATTTAATGCAGAATCTCTTGATATTAATATTCACAGGAATACAGATGTTATTTCCCATGTGAAGGAGGTTCAAATTTCTCAAACCACCAAAATGAATGGTTGTAGAGAAAATATTGAGGTTTTTGACTCTCAAAATTGCTCCATTACCCCTGGCTTGGAATCATCATTTCATGCTGATTCTGTCTTTGACAACAACCACTGTATGCCTGATGATTTTGCTGCTCCATTGACTGTAATGCATAAAAGCAATGACTTGGATGGTTATGGTTCTATGCATACAGATATACTGGGCATATCATCTTCCCAGAATTTGCATGCCCTCCCTATTCTAGAGAATGAACTTGCAGAGAGTAAAATCAACAGAAGTGGAGTAGGCATCTCTGAAATTTCAGAAGACAGAGTTGATATTAGAACAGAAGTTCAAATGGATGGTTCTGAGACTCATAACAGTTTATACACATCATTGGCTACTGGATGTGAGAGAATAGATGAGTACGCTAATAACCAGGCTACCTCAAATAGGGACCTACATCTTGAGAAAGTGGAAACAACTTGCTTGGGGGCATAAATGAGGATCAAATGCTTGCCTCTGGTTCTGGGTATGATGATAAAGTCTCAAGGTTTGGATGCAGTTATAGTGAAAATACTAGAGTAGATTATTTACATGGTGTAGCTGTTGTTTTGGATGCCAAAGAGATTTCTCTAATTGATGAAGAAAATTCAGTTTCTCATGAAGCTGACCAGAGGAGTAGAATGCACCATGAAATTTCAGCTATTGAGAGTTCTTTGGTGGACCAAAATGATGTAAGCTCCCCATTTGTCATAATATTTTAATGTTTGTTATGCCATCTATGTTGAACTGTTGCTTTAAAGGAGGCTTGCCCCTTTTTTTGGCACAACTGATATGATACGCATAACATACTTCACTATAGGCACAAATGTATTCCAAAATCTTTATCACTTTTTACCCTTGTCTAAAATGCTGCAAATCAGTTCAAAAGCTTGTGGAAAATCTTAATGACATGGATGGACGTGGAGATTGGCTTTTACTTTGAATTAGAACTCTTATTTTAGTTTATGATTTTTGAGGAAAGGCATAGGGCAGACAGATAATGCGGACCACCATTTTGTTGAAATTTTGTATGCTATTAGTCTACCAAGTACACAAATCGCTGACAAGAACGAGAGCAACACATTTCAAAGAAGAATTAGGTGGTGATGTAGGATATGTAGAACGTCGGGATTCTGAGCAGAAATCAGAAGTTAAACTTCAAGTTGCAGAATGTGAGTTTAGATTCAACCAATAAGTTGTTTTGGGCTTTTGGCCACCATGTCTCAAAGTAGTTTTCATTCTACCTGACATTTCAAGATGGATTTTTCAATTGCTTCTGCATTGAAGTTGAGGGCAAATTGTCTCTAATCAGTGGAAAATGAAGGAGAGTGAGAATTGAAAGAGATTGGGAGAGATATTAATTAGTCATAAAGGATTAATGATACGTATATGAAATGATATTTTAATTCAATATTAGGAGTAGAAATTAATAATTTAATTTACTTTTAACTTTTGAAGTTATAAGGAGTTATCCCATGGTCTCTATATGTAAAACACTTACCAATTGTGCTAATGTGGATTTTAGACTATTTGGACTATATTGTCAGTTTTATTCTTTTTTCCCTCTGCCAACTTCTCCCTGCTTTTTCTTTCTGTTTCTTCCTCTCTCTTCTCCCCTTTCATTACTGTTCTGCATTTTGTCAATTGCAAGTTTTGTAATAAAATCCTGTTGATCATATTTAATTGAAATCTGTAGTGCATGCTGGTTCTTCTCCTGTTTTACCTTTTTAGGAGGATGCCTTCATTTGACCATAATAGACACATATTTATGCAGACAGTTTTTCTCATCTCATTTTCATAGAAGTATTGATCTTGAATACCAGATAGTGTTGATCATGTAATTTTGTTAAATTCATAATGATTTATCTTATTGTATATCATATGGTTTTATTGTTCAATTTGGTATACTTCTTTTTTGAAGCGGTTGATCTCTGAACTCTGGTTCTTTATTTATGAAACTTGGTGTATTTTAATTTGGAAGAAACATACCTTTTGATCCCTGCACTTTGCTTGTAATTTACTGTAGGTCCTTACACTTTTTTTTTTCAATGTTTTGGGTTCCTACACTTTCTTTTTCTGGTGTTTTATGCTTATCCAAGGTCCCCACACTTTGTTCAATTTATTCATTTAGGGACCTAGAACATTGGAAAATAAAAGTATAAGGATTCAAAACACTGAAAAAAAGTGCAGGGACCTATAACAAAACACGAGCAAAGTGCAGGGACCAAAAAGTATGTTTTCCCTTTAATTAAGTTTGATTAATATCTAACCAAGCTCTTTGGCTGCATGGCGCAGGAAAATATTGTATTTGCAGAGGATACAGGTTTGCTTCTAAATCCTTACACTGTTGATTCATCTCCTGATATGTACGCTGCCAGAAGCTTATGTAGATATCTATAAGTGGTTTTCCAGTCCAAGAGGCCGTGTATATGTAGGCTCATATTATTGATTTGCTTTCTTTTGATGGTTGAGTAGGGCTGCTATGAGAGTTTCTAAGTAGCGAACCATAGTACAAAGTGAGTACTGAGCATTAGAAACAGCGGTCCTGCTATATATATATATATATGATTGAATAGAAGCAAAGAAATGTGCATAAACCTGCTAGAAAATTTTCTGTTTGAGGTGTTTTCTTTTCTTGAGATATTGCGCACCTTTACCACAAGAAATCAACTGTTAAATACTATCCTTTTTACTACAATCATACAAGGAAAGCAATAGCGTCCAACTTTATTGTTCTAGATGGATCAACAAGGGTTCACTCGTGTAATAGAGTCAAGCTACATCAACTAAAGTTTCTTTGGTAATTCCTGATCTGCTTTTACACCAAAAAAGATCAAGGTGACATGGTTCCTGGAATTCCATAAGAAGGGAATGGGATCCTGTATGGATTCCATCAGGTCCGTGTTTTTGGTTACTTTGATACCTGTTCCCTAGAAGATGCGATTCCATGTGTTGGCCCCTCAAACTTCACTGCTATTTCATTAAGTAATCGGTTGAGCCAAATTCCTTCACAGATCCCATGAGCCAAAGCTCTAAGTTCTGATTCAGCACTGCTGCACGATCCTATAGATTGTGTTTTGCTCCTCCATTTGACCAAATTACCCCACACAAAGAAGAAAATTCCGTGTAGTTGACCTTTTCTCTGTGCGAGAATTTCCCCAATCAGCATCTGTGAATATTTCAATTCATCTGTGTAGCCCCTTTTTAAAGTACAAGCTTTTACTAGGGGTGAATTTTAAATAGTGCAAGATCCTGAAGACTGATTCTCTGTGTTCCTCAACAGGCCTGGTAGAAAACTGACTTACAATACAAACCAGATAAGATATATCAGGTCTGGTATGAGAGAGAAATTAGTTTCCCTACTAATAGCTTATATCTTTCTTCATTAACTGGGAGGCTCACTATTATCCTCCCATCTTTGTCTTTCTTTTGACCAAATTGGAGATTGACCTCCATGGGCATGGCTGTTACTCTAATATCCTTATTTATCGATGTTTCCTTCAATACCTAGGAAATATCTCAATTGTCCCAAGTCTTTCACCTTGAATTCAGCTACTAGCACCTACTTCAATCTTTGCTTCTCACAGGTTATTGCTGGTAATAATTATATCATCCTCACAGACAATGGATGTAGTTATTTTTCCATCACTTTGTGTCACTGTGCGTGATCTGTCTGACATTGAGTATATCCATGCTTCTTCGCAACTTTAGTAAATCTTTGAATCCCAGTATGAGGGACTGTTTCAGGCCCTATAATCATTGACACAATTTACATACTTTACCCTGGTTCACACTTGTTTTAAAACCAGGAGGTATGTCCATCTACACCTCTCCTTTTTTTTTTTTTAATTCCCATTTAGAAATGTATCCTTCACATCCAACTGAAACAAGTGCCAATCAAGATTTGAGTGAAACCTTTTGTAACAAGCCATCACGCTTATTTACACTCCTATTAGGATTGTATTTCTTAGTGAACACCCATCTACAATCCACGATAATTTTACCTTGAGGAAGCTCAATCAACTCCTAAGTCTGATTTTTAATCAAAACCTCCATTTCTTCATAAATATTTTCTTTCCACATTGGATTCTCCATAGCCTATTTAACATTTTTAGGTATTTGTTCAACTGTAGTAAAAGCTTTCTTAGCAGGAGATAATTGTTTATACAATTCAAAGTTGCTAATAGGATGTTAGTGCAAAACCTTACCCCATTCCTCAAAGCAATAGGCCAGCCCAAGTTGCAAAATTGAGAATCTGAGGTAGAGTTAGATGATCAGTGTAATATGCTTTTGTGGTATTTTGAGAGAGGAAAAATGTATTTCTCATTCATGTGTATTTTAATGTATATCAAGAGAGATAAAACTTAATAAATACTAATAAAGTCTAACGAATAATAATATACAATAATTATTCACAATAATGACATAATATTCCCACAATCCCCCTCAAGTTGGATCATAGATGCTAATCATGTCCAACTTGCTTATACAACTCTCAAAGGTAGGCTTGGGTAGTCCCTTGGTCAGCATATCTGTGGCTTGTAACTTTATAGGTAGGTATGTCAAACATACAATGCCTCCTCCTTTCTCTCTGATAAAATGTCTCTCCATTTTAACATGTTTAGATATCTTATGATGTATAGGATTCAATGCCATGCTTATGGTAACCTTATTATCACAATGCAACTTTATTGGTGGATCAATTCTTACCTGTATTTCTTCCATGACCCTTCTTATCCATATTTCTTTTGTGATTTCTTGAGCTAATGCTCTCAATTTTGCTTCAGCATTGCTTTTGGATACAACTCTTTGCTTTTGACTTTTCCAAGTCATTAAGTTTCCTACGCAAATGAGTAATTGCCAGAGGTGGATCTCTTGTCTCCATAGTTCCCCCTTGCCTGCATCTGTATAGATCTCAATTGTCCTCTGATCATGTTTCTTGAATACTAATTCCTTACCAAAGGTACCTTTAAGGTATTTGAGAATCTGAGTGTCTCTTCCTTGGATCACACATGTATTGACTCGCTATACTGACAACAAAAGCAATATGTGGCCTTGTGTGGGATAGATAAACCAACTTCCTCATCAGTCTTTGATATCTGTATTTATCAATGGTTTCTTCTTTTTCCTTGTAATCTTCTTCAACCTCATCATTAGAGCTGTCTTCTCCTTCTGGCTCCTTATTGTTCACTCAAACTTCTTTCTCGAGACCACAATGGGAGTTTTGTCAGGTTTACAACCTAACATGCCAGTTTACTTGAGAAGAATCGAGTATGTACTTCCTATGAGATGCATATATGCCTCGTTTTGACCTTGCAACTTCCATACAAGAAAATATTTCAAGTTCCTGAGATCCTTAACTTCAAATTCCTTACCAAGGACAATCTTTATCCTTGCTATTTCCTCAATAGGATGCAATTTGTGGGTGTCACGTGTGGGCTACACACTGCTGTTTGCCATTGCCGTTGCTATCTTGGGTTTTGGTGTTTTGAGCATCCTGAGCATGTCTAGGGTGGTAATAAGAGTCCAAACTTGCCCCACCATTATCCCCAAGAATGCCCTCACGTACTACCTAGGAAGTCTCATGCCAGCCATTTCAGAATGAACCTGATTTGAATGTTGAGCATGATGCTCGAATACCATGGGGGGTTTTGAGAGAGGAAAAATGTATTTCTCATTCATGTGTATTCTAATGTACAAATTGGTCCTTTTTGCATACATCAAGAGAGATAAAACCTGATAAATACTAATAAAGCCTAATGAACAATAATAAATGCTAATTATTGACAATAAGATGTAATATTCCCACGACTTCGATATTGATTAGTTGCTTGCTCTTCCTGGACCTGTTCTTGTGCCTGGGGCCTCTAGTTAAATTCAAATTGGTCTGATTCCTCATTCTGGACAGTCATGGAATGTTCTGCTCTCTAGTCATTAATGAGGTCACGTTGTTCAGTGGAAGGATCAGGTTCTGTTTTGAGAGTTTTAAAGGCTGTTTCAGGTAGCAATTCAGATGTTACTGGGCCGTTTTTAGGCAGTTCGAGGTCAAGAAGTGGCTGGAAATAGGATGGTCTACCTAGGAGTGATTGTTGGTGGTCATAAAAAGGTGACATCATTGGAAGTGTAATATTTTTTGAGTAGGAGAGCAGTAGTATCTGTGCCCCTTTTGGTTCTGCTGGTACTTGACAAAGATGCACTTTAAAGCATGGGGATCTGGCTTAAGTGAGTGAGGCATGTGAACATTTGTTGTGCACCCAATGATTTTGAAAGATCGTGTGCCCATAAGTCTAGAGTTAGGACTAGTTTCAAGTCAAAATTGGAGTGGTCCTTTTGGTTCTCTGAGTACCCAAACTAAGATGCACTTTAAAGCACAGGGATCAGGCTTAAGTGATAGAGGTATGTGAATATAAACTTTGGTGGTGAATCCCATGGGAACTTAGGTAATTTTCAAGGCTAGAGTTGAAGTATTCTTTTGCATTGCCAGTTCTAAGAATCTGGATTTTTTTTTTTTTTTGAGTTGAGTTTCAATCAAAACATGATATTTCTGGAAAACAACAGGCACTTCAGATTTCTCCTTTAGTAAATATACCCCAAGTTAGGCGCATATGACCATCTATAAAGGTAAAAAATACCACCATGCTCCATTTATTGTTTTTGTCTTGGAAGGACCCCATTCATCTTTATTCATGAATTGAGGGTGACCAAATATCACCATTTTTTGAAGTGCTCGTGACTAGGATGACCAAAACAAAAATGCAACAACTCTATTTCATCAAGTACCGAATTAGACACAAAACTAACAGGCTTGTGGCATCTGATCCCAAATCTGAATGAAAGAATTTGGATGCAGGAATAGTAAAGAAAAATTAACTTAGGTTTCCTTATACAGGATTATATTTTAGATTGGAAGTGTAGTTCTCTTCTTGATTGACAGTTGCATTTGTCAATAATTTAAAATCTTATCATTATTCTTCCTTGAGGGAGCTACCAATATGAAGGTAGGGGGGATAGAAAATTATGTCTTCCAGGGGTCTTGTGTACAGGATAGGTGCTAGCTATGCCTTTGTGGCTTCTAAAATAGTCAATGTAGTCATTATGTGGAGTGTGAGTCATTTATTGCTGCTGGTTATGTTTGTCTGATATAGGTAGCATCCTGTTCAATCTGTTTTCAGGGTTTCTGAATGTTGATGATGATATGGTTCAAGGTGATGATGATTATATACCATGTGATGAAGGAGCTCTTCTAGAAAATAGCGGATGGTCTTCTCGGACCAGGTTGTATATTTGAAGCATTTGTAGAAAACTTCTGCATGCAGCAACTAACTGCTTTTTTTGTGCCTTTTCATGCAATAAAGCAATACTATTTTCTAAAAATCTGGCATCAATATATGGTGGTCTAAGTAATCCTCTAATTATATATCATATGCTGTATTGTAGACTAATAAAGTCCATTGGATCTATTAGCTCCCTGTTTCTTTTGCCGTAGTTATTTTTTCATTTATTCATTATTTATTAGTATTGCATACTGGTTTGTTCGGATACACTGTTTGGTTTAGAGCAGATTACTTTGACCAAAACTAAGATAATCTCAATAAAACTGATGTGCCCTGTTACCTGAAGGATGAATAAGAATTCAGACCCTGAAATTTATCATGCTGTAACGCTTCATTCCCTCTTGCACTGCTGTTTTAATAGTGTCTTTTAACCTGACGGCATTGCCTTGGGCAGTCCTGATGCCTTGTAAGAGAGGGGTTATCCTGTTATTGCTAGATTTAAATTATTTCGCTTGTAATTAAGTGGAGGGCCTAGTGGGATAATGCTTGTTATTAGTGTTGGTGTAGGTAAGTGGAGTCTTGCTCTAGTTCAGTAATTTTTGTCTTTTTAAATTCTTGGATGTTTCTTTCTGTTATGCTAATTAATATACAATCCTTATTGCTTGTTGGATTTTTTTGACTTTTGAATCTTATTGTGTTCTTTTTGATAGAGCATTCTATGCCATCATCTTGTTTGGTCTAACATTTTGATGAGATCTGAATCCATTTATATGTTAATTTGGTAGCCAACTAATACTTCTATCCACAGAGCTGTTGCCAAGTATCTGCAGGCTTTATTTGATAAGGAAGATGTGCATGGAAGGAAGAACCTGCCACTTGATAATCTAATAGCTGGTAAAACCCGGAAAGAAGCCTCAAGGATGTTTTTTTAAAAACACTGGTATGTTCATGAATCTTGGTTTTGGTGACATAATTCAGTGCTGTATAAAGTAAGGAGATTTGTAGAGTCTGTTTGCTCAAGATATGTTGCTAAAGTCTATTGGGGTCCCTTCTGTATCATATGCAGTACGGGAACAAAAATGCCTTTCCCTGCTGTTAATTTTGTGTCAATGTTTACTTTTCTGGAACCTTCTTTTGTCATCTCGTCATCAAGATAAAAGTTTTTGAATTTATTAGAACTTAAGAAGTTTGGTTAATATGTATGCAATCTCTTAAATGCGAATGACTCAATTTCATTTGTTGTTTGAACTTTAAACTCCCACCTAGCAGGAAAGGGCTTCTTGTTGTTTGAAGTTTAAACTGTTCCACTAACTGCATCTAAAAATTGGAACTGTTGTGTTTTGCAACTACTGTATAACTACAATTTAACCCTGGAAAACCTAAGTATTTTCTGAGATTATCCTAATTTGTATTGGTAGATGTGCTAGATTAAAAAGTAAACTTACTGATATTACAGTTTTGTTATTTGAGGGTTCTCTTGCATATGCCCTTTCTGTTTTGAGTTATTTTCATTTGAAGCTTAACTCGGGCATGCTGTATGGGATTGGATGGAGTGATATTGATGTTTATACTTTATAATCACTCATCTTGATTACTTTAGCTGGTTGTCAGACCTTGTTCTAGCCTCCTAGCTGTGTGGATTCCTGGGAGGTGATTAGCACTAAGTTTCCCATTGGTATCTAGTGACTTTAAATGTTTCAAAAAGTAGGATGGGTTTGGGAGGCTTTTTATATCTGTAGCCATCAAATTGTTTTTGACGAATTGGGAGTGGGGAATAGCAGATTCTGATTGACTTGTATGGACGCCAATCTCTTGGTTGGCCTATCCTAAGAAATGGCAGGTGCTGAATATTTATAAAACAATTACTTGTTTTGACAATATGAGGTGTCTTAGCCAAACATTTGAAAAAATAAAATAAAATGTCTTTTGAGTGGTGGCAATAGTTAGTTACCCATTGCAGGAAGTAAACAGATAAAATGGAGCTTATCCTTGAAAGCAGAGGTAAAATTAGTTTTTTTTTTTTTTAGGACGGAACCATCACAATTCAATTCAATAATTAATTACCATATTTTTCTCTGATTTTGCCCTACCAGCTCGATTACCTATTCTCGAGTAATTTGACAGTAGCAAGAACTTCTGATTTTTTAAAGATTTCTGAAGAGTGCTTACAAGGATTTTGTCAAATACTAATTACTTCCTCACGCTGCTTTAAAGAAATAGTTCAAAAAAGCAACCTCAAGCAGGCAGATGTTTATGGCTGGAAATGAGCAGGGATGAACACGCCAATATGGTCATTAGGTTTAACTAGTATTTGATGTTTCTTTCCCTACTCCCCTTTTTTAGAGTGTTGTTTGAATTGCTTTAGGCATGTCTTTCGAACATTCACTGTATTATTGTCAAGGCTTTCCTCTGACAGGGTGGTAAAAGGAATTGGAAAGCATGGGAGTTTTTCATTGGTCATGGACTCATGGGAATGAGGCTTTTCAAGACAAGTGTATCTTGAATGATTTTGGATATAAATATATTTCTTTCATGTTATATTCACAGGTTTTTAAACATGTTTTCTGAATGTTTGTCCAAAAAAAAATGCTTTCTGAAATGAGTTTTACTCTTGTGGTCAACTGCCGTTTTCTTGTTGTAAGGTGGTGATTGAAGAAAGGAGCTAGATCTTTGTTAACCTTGTCTTGACTTTTATGTTTGGTTAATATGTGGACTCCATGTTTGATTCTTAAAAAAAAAAAAAAAAATTTTCTTGATTGGGAAGTTAATGTATGTGTGGAATATGTAACTTATAATGGATGACCACCAGTTTTCCATAGATAATTTTATTTCTTTGCTGTGAAACGTTCAGACTATTACTGCTGTGACTACTTAGCGACATTGTGTATGGTTAATTTTGTCTCGATCATATTGGCAGGTTCTCAAGACCAGGGATTATGTTCATGTAGAGCAGATGAAACCCTTTGCAAATATTAACATCAAACCTCGATCAAAGCTGATGAAATCAGATTTCTAAGCCTTGAATAGGATTGGCTGATGTAGTTTTAAAGATACAGATGGTTCCAACTTGGTTCATGTCTACCATATTGGGTAATTCTTCATCCCCCCACCCGCTCCCTTTTAATGATTTTTTTGAGATAGGGGTTAGCTGTCTAGTTCTTTAATGGGTTGTTCTGTAGCGGGGGACAGATGAGCATGAAGAGGCACCTGTATGATGCTGACTGTAGTAACAACATAGTCGGATCAATATTTTATGTATATATTTTTGTAAAATATCGCCATTTGTGACTCTAGTTGCTAATTTGTATGTTTGTGATTCAAACGGTTCCGTGCAAGAAAGGTTGGTATTTTGCTATCGCTCTCTTTGTCAAGGTGGTTTTGGAGTAGTAGTCGTCATCCTAGATGTTATTGCAATGGTTATCAAATCATGTACCTATGGATTGTATAGTATCATCTTGTATTGATCCTTGAAGAGTTACAAGACATTTGTGAAGAATTGTTTATGAGCCCATTTCTTTTGTTAGACATGGTTACTTGCAGGAACGGTCCCTTGATACTTCCATTTTCATTCACATAACCTTGCGGGAGGAATGAGTCATCCCAATGACGAGTTCATTTGGATAGAACGGATTAAAAGAAGAAAGAATAAAATGAATTAATTAAATGACGAATTCACACTTATCACAAATTACAGGAATTATTATGATTATCAATCTCATAATTTAAATTAATTATATCTTTTTGTGAATATTCTTGATTCATCTCTTCTTTACATCTTAATCATTATATTTTTATATTTATTTTTTGAATATATTTTATTCAATTCTTTTCTGGCAATTAAACCTCATTTAAGTGAACTTGGATTGATTTAAATCGAAGTGTGTGATTTATGAATAATAAGGACGATGATATGCGTGAAAGTTTTGTGAATGAAACATATACATGTTTGGATGATGAAAAAAGAAGGAAGAAAAGGAGAAAAAAATTGAGAAGAATAAAAAATTGTTTTCAATTATTATGTTTGGTTCACTGAAAAAAGAACGACGGGAAGAGAATGGCGATTGTTTGTCCAAAAAAAAAACAGAGAAAGAAAAAGAGGAGAATGGAGATTGATTTCATCATGAAATGATATACGCTTCAAAGCTATCTATTTTTTTTCCCTTATTTTTTCAAGTTTTCTCTTTATTTTGCTGTTCTCTCCTAGGTAATTGACTCGTTATAAAAGTCGATGACTTTAATTCCAATTTCATAATTTAACAAAATACTTATTATTATAATGGGAAAAAAATCAAGTAACTGAAGCACAACTGCACTAAAAGATGCGCACACAAGCTTTGGCTAAATATCGAGTAAATTGACAAACTCGATTACACATGTCACGTTTAATTACTAAAAAAAATAAAATTAATTGAAAAAATAAAAATAAGATTATCAAAAAAATGGTGAATCACATTTATAAAGAAAATGAATAATTTAGTTCATAAAATTAAAAATCATGATTCATGAAATTTTTAAAAGGCGTGATGATTTTATATTTATAATATATATTAATAAGTTTTATCATATTAACATGAAGAGAAGTTATTGTTTAATTTATTGTTGTTTTTATTAATTTTTAATTTATTCCTTTCTAGTAACCAATCATAACTAGAGTTTCTCATGAGCTATTAGCAACAAATTAAATAAATAAAAGAGTTAACTCAAATTATGACAACAGGGGAGAGGAAGATCGACGGGCAGTAATCCAGTATCACTTACAAAGCTTCATGGAAGGAGACGGCACGCTAAATATCTTAGGTGTATTAATATCAATATATATCTATATATATCTATATCTTGGGTGTGTGATCCTTTCCTAAAACTAATTTCTCCCCCTATGCTATGATGCACAAAATGTATTCAATTATATGATTAAGAGTTAAGACATCGAAGTAATATAAAATAAAAAATATAACAAAATTTCATAAAAATTAAAAAAAGGAAAAAATTAAGATAGAAAAAAATATATGATTTAACAAATAGCTAATAATCTTATGTTGTTAATTTAAAAAAATATATGATTTTAAAATTAATTAAAAAAACACTTTTTTTTGTGGGTTACAAACGGAAAGCTAAGCTTGAAAAAGAAAATTGAGCATGAAGAACCAAAAGATGGTTCTCATCTTCAAGATACATGGATAAACAATCTAATGATGTCTTTGTGAGAATGGCCATAAAGTCCACACATCTAATGATGTCTCCGTGAGAATGGTGTAATTCTACAACATGCGTGAGAAACAAATGATTCCTAATGTAATCAATAACATCTCTTAAGTGGTGATCTAAAGGATTGTCTCGTCTCAAAGTGTTAACAGCCTCAATAGAATCAAAGTGGATGGAGATTTGCCAAGATTGAGTGGCAAACCCCAGTCCCAACTTTGATAGCCAATATCTTTGCATCATGTAAGGTTTCTCTTAATAAACCATAGCTAACTCCAAAATTGAGGTAATCAAAAGATAAAACCCCTCAAAGGATTACCAACTTTATAAAATTATATAAATGGGAGCAACACTCAAATCAATTATAATGGGATCCCAAAATTCAACATTTTTAATCTCTTAAACCCTTGTTATACTTAAATCAAAGTTTTAAAATAATGTAAAAGCTTGAAAATCAATTGAAATTCAAAATATTGAGTTTCAAAACTCAAAACTATATTTTGTGCAGAAAAACGTGACATGAGCCAAGGCTAAAGGTCCATGCACTGCGACTCACTCACCTTTGTGCCATGTGTCATGGCGTGGCCAGCGCATTACATGAATTTAATAATTATCAATTGTCAATTTAATAGCACAGGGAGTGAACTTCAAATGCATCTTAAATCTCCGTCTGACATTCAATTGGGGTGGTTTTGGTGTCTACACTGAGCTTTCTCCTAGTTTTAGCTAAGGGCATAAGTTTCAAACTCAAATTCATTTCCTACAAAAAGTTGAACACCAAAATTTATTTTACTACTTTTTCACCAAAATCTCACAATAATGGTGTCCAAACTCAATCACAAGCGCCAAAAGCCTACACCGATCCTCCAACCACACTCAATAGACTCTACCAAACCTCTGCAATACACCATACACAACCAAAATACATAAATCTCAAAATCACCACTCAATCCTAAATGTCATAAAATACAAGGGGGAGGAAAACTTTACACAAAACAACCATCTTCATTCCAAATCATGCAAAATACATATATTTTGGCCTTATCAATGAATTTAAACTAAAACTCACTAAACCAGGGCACAAAATACACAAGTTGTAAACTATGTAATGCAAGTAAGTAGTACAAAATAATGGCATGTGATCTAGTTAGCAATTATGCAACATTAATACACATAAATAAAGTAGAGAGGCATGGAAGTAGAATTTTCACCACAATCCTATGTGATTCAAAACGAGGAAGGAGAAGGGGGAAAGAATATAGAAAAGAGAGAAAGGGATCAGTAGAGAGAGAAGAGAAAACTCAAAGTAGAGGCAAGATAATAGTAATTCTTATTCAATCAAATGTGCATACAAAACAAATGAGTTAAAGCACTATTTATAAGGCTTTACCCTTAACCCTTAGAATTAAATGCGAGAAATTCTTAAAATTTTAAAATTAAATGAAAAAATAATAATAATTCAAATATTACTACAATTAAAACAAAATATTCTTAATTAATAAAAATATCCTAATAAAATATCTTTGATCTTTCAATCTTATCAAATCTTCAATATCTTTAATTAATTCTTTTTCTTCCCATCATTTCTCCCTTGTTTGATGAACTCTCTTCTAGAGAGTAAAATTGTGGATATACTCTAAAGGTACGATAGGATCAAGAAATTTCAAGTTATGTCTTTGTTTGGAAACCCTTTCCAACAAATCAAATACCAATAAATGGCATTAAGTGAATAGTAAATAGTCTGAACATGTAGAAGCACAACATTAAAAATCCTTTCCAATGAATAAGATAATATTGGTGGGGACTATATGATTCACGAATAATATGTGATAACATTTGTAATAACATCAACACTAGAGGGCATAATAGATGAATTAGGTAAAGTAAGAGTCAATTGAAATTGGATACCATCATTAATTATCTCATAATTCTCAGTTACTGTGTGTAGAATTTGCTTCCATAATTTCTCTTCTTCTTAATTAAGAGTTGCCTCTTGAGTCTCAACAATGCCTATATCTAAGGTAGGAGCAAAAGTTTCAATATAATTCGACCAGACTTCTTTAATTTATATGTCATCACATGCCTCAATCTCAAAATCCATAGTGATATTACTCTCTAACACCACTAATATAGGTACATGGTCTTGATTACGCATATCATCTCCTTTAGCAGTAAATAAAAATATTTATTATGTTTAAGATATTATCAAGAGAATTAGGAGTTATTTTCCTTTTGATATAAATTCTCTTTCTCAACTTGATAGCAATGCCCTTCTTTAATATGGATCGAACGGAGCTTTAGAGTTCATCAATTTTATCTCTCACAAGTTCAAGGTGTGAACATATGAAATCTAAGTCTGATTGATCAACTAAATCATATTGATAGTAACATTGATGATGATTAGCATAATAATCATAGTGGTGAACATATGAAATCTAAGTTTGATTGATCAACTAAATCATATTGATAGTAACATTGAGGATGATTGGCATAATCATAGTGGTAAAGGTCAACATAATCATATTGACAATGATAATTATTAATGAAGGTCAATATAATCATATCGATAATTAAGTGAAGTCATAACACATGATTGAATGTGATTTTTTTAGGGATTGTAGGCAATTAAAGGTGATATTTTCTTTAGAGGCTCTAATATCCTATTTGAGAAAAAGTTCTTAAGTTTCCTTTACTTAAAAGGTGAAGACCTATTAACAAGTCTAACCCATAGGGGACCAAACATGGTTAAATAAGTAATAATTTGAGTGAAGCATTCACAATGATTTTTGAGGACTTGGAAACCCTCAAGAAACCAATAGAAACTTCAATTAGCCTAGGGTAGATAACTATTTATAAGGTGAATTTTTTTTAATGATTAAATCAAAGAAAAAATTGAATGAAATAAATGAAAGAAATGAAAATGGAATAAATAAAGGAAGGAAACAAAATATGAAAAATAAAATAATATAAAAAAAGGAAATATGATAAAAAGGCTTCAAGTGAAGGAAAGTGGAAACAAACAAGAATAATAGGGAAAAGGAATAAGGAAAGGGACAAATGGCAAGAAACCTAAAATTAGGGTCGAAGAACCTTACCGAGTAACTTAAGGA